CGTTTATGCTCTAAATCTTGCTCTAGGGGGAAATTGTGTGCTCGTTTCGAATTTGTTGATAACCGGAACCGTATGATGATATTTTCAATGGACTTCTTTCACGTCAGAGTAGGTCACTGACATAACATGATCCAGTTCAATTTTGTTAATCTACTGTCTAGCGTCATCTTTGACGCTTCTTTCCACTGCAAAAATCAAAGCGGTCTTAACATAATTTTTAGACAACGGGTGACCTTCCAAAGGTTAAACAAGGTACTTACCCTAAATGAGCACTAAATTGACCTTTGCTTAAACAGACATTTAGGTTCTGGATGTACTTTTAAGACCACCTGGAATTTTACCATGTTTGGACTACTTTGGACTCAAAGATCATGACCAAGAGCAACAGATTTCCACACACCTGAGTTTCACGTCTGGCCAATACATCTTGTGGGAATTTGGTGTATTCAGCTTCCTTACTTTTTCATGTCTAGAGCGCCAAAGGCCCCCCCCCCCCTCATCTCTCGAGCGAAGGCCTCTTCACCCGGCCACCCGGGTTCGTGTAACTGAAGCAGTCGTGACACCACGGCTTCCAATGCCTGACCTGGTTTTCATTGTCGATGGCAATGACGAGCGCCGTGCGACCCAGGGGTCAGTGCAGTTGATGTTGATCTTGTTGTTCAGCTTGGTCCTCTCCAGATCACTGAGGGAGTGCCCGGTAACGGTCGGTCAGACACCGCAGATCATTCTTTCCTGCTGATTGGTTTTGAGGTAGTAGGTTAGTTCTTACGCTAACGCCCTCTTGGCAACGGTAATAATGATCTAATAAAGGTCTATCGCGTTCGCCGAAATGACTATACATGGTTTCCTCTCTCTATTTTCTTGTCATGTATTCCGTCAGATCCGCTACCGCCTACTTTTGGGTATGGCCGTACCTATATAACCATAAGAAAGACAGTGTTGTATTTGTCTGTATTTGCTTGTGGCTGTCATAAAAGCCAAATGCCAGGCTCTGACTTATTGTACCGCCATCGGATGCGAAGATTGCAGTGTTTCGTACAAGATCCCCGCATTTGGTTTCGATATTGTCTCACATGCCAATATGAGCAGTGTCATGGCAGCTCAGCCCCTCCACACCACGGGCAAATGTCTTGTGATTACAACTATTGATCTTCACCACTAGCGTTCAAGGAAAAACAGAACCGCGTACAAGTAGTCATGCTCCCATTATAGAACAAAACCGACCGTGCCTTACAGGTCCAATGCGTTGAACCTTCAGCAGATGACACCAACATCGTTTATCTCTATTATGGCCCTGAAAACAGCGTTACCCATTCACGCGTCCAAACTTCTCGGTCATGCAGGGCACTAATCGGAGGTGAGGAGGTGAGTTTCAGGAGGTGAGAAACGACCAGGGCCGTGGCGGCGACCTCGACCGCCGGTCGGCACTACCGGTTGTGACCGGTAGGGTGGCAGGCCACTCACTGGGCGACGGAGGCGACATCTCCACGTTCGGCGAACAGCAGGAAGGCGTTTCTCCTCAGAGGAGAGCTCGTGGTCGATGACGGGGTCGAGGCCGTCCTCGGGGGTCTGCGGTCGAGTCTCGCCCGACTCCTCCGCCTAGCTCCGGGTCCCCCATGGCGCCGCAGGCTGCCGGCGTTCGGACACCGGCCAATCTTGTCATTACTAGTCAGGGATGCTGCAGCCGGCGCAAGCTGCCTACGGGGATGGCTTAACGAACGTTGCACAGCTGCCGCGGGCTACACACAGCGCTCACGTCTACAAATTGCACCGGGCACGCTGCGCACATCTTCCGCGCAAGGCGAGCCTGGTTCCGGCAGCCTTGAGACACGTCTCCGTCAGCCATAAGGTTGGTGCGGAATGGCTTCAGTCGCAATGATCATATTTCCACGCTCAGAGGCATCAGCCTGGTATGGTGCGCTGAATATATGGAAACGTGTTCCAGTGCCACGCCGATACCGGCTATACGCGAACGGACGCGTCGTTAGCTTTGCCTGCTTTTGTTGATCGCCCGCAAAACCAAAAATCGATTCGGGCCATGAGCTTGTTATCACGTTGGCTGCTACAGGGTAGGCGTATATGGATTATTTAAGAGGCAACCACTGATGAGACGGCACAAAGTCACCAGATATAAGCTCCGATGAGTTTGGAGCCCGGAGACCCTCGGCCGGTACCATCTGCGTACAAATCTGGGGTAGAGCCAATCGCTACACAAGTGACCTGTACAGTCAGAACCGACGGATATGCACGCAGAATCGAGAGGCAGTCGGCAGGTGCAAGGGTGCACAGGGAGGAGAAATTGCTCGCCATTTGGGAGACACTCAGGGCTAGGAATTTGCTATCTGGGAGGCATCTAGTTCTGAGAGTCTGCCATTTAGGACGTGTTCAGAGTTGAGGGTCTGCTATTTGAGGGGGGGGGGGGGTATCCAGAAAGTCTGCTATTTGGAAGGCATCCAGATCTGAGAGTCCATTATTTGGAAGGCATTCAGTGCTGAGAGTCTACTTTTTGGGAGGCATTTAATGCTGGGAGTCTGCTACTTGGGAAGCATTCAGTGCTAAAAGCCTGTTATCTGGGAGGCTTTCAGAACCGATTCTGCTACCTTGGAGGCATCCAGAGCTGAAAGTTTGCTATTTGGGGGCATGCGAAGCTGAGAGTCTGCTCGCAGCACTGCGGTCAGATCTCTGCATTACCAATGCTGCGCAGCCCACAGTCTCTGAAGTCCGTCGCAGCGCCCCACGCCTAAAAGTCTCCTGAGGTGAACGTGACCAGCTTTGATCCCGCCAGCTCCGCGGCGGACCCCTGCCACCAGCGGCTAACCTGCACGGGGAGGAGCGTGGGCCGCCGCGCACCGCTCGCCGCCCTCGCTGCGCCTCCGCCCCGGACGACCGGCCGGCGTCGGTCTGCGGCGCTGGCCGGCCTCGGCACACCAGGGAAGCCCGATGGCCACTTCAGGGGCTTCCGGCCTTGGAGGGCTGTCAGGGACTGCGCACTCGCCGCCGATCGATCGAGCCGGTCACGGACAGGTTCACCGTGTGACGCTCCTTATGAGGAGGTGGGGAGTTTTATTAAGATGGCCGCTGAGGGTGATCACACTAGCTAAAGCTAGCGTGGCGCACGGTCAAGGGTATTTGCAGTGGCGTGCTGATTCAAAAGTTTCGTCAACGATTACGACGTTGCAAGGCGCGTGTTGCACCAAAGGTGACTTTCCTTCTCTTAAACCCTCTGCGATTATCGACGTCATAACTGCGCCTGCCAAGTAACAAAATAAACGAGAACACCATCTATGTGCTAATGGTATCTGACGCCAGCACGAGTAGCCAAGCTAGAGGTACACACAAACTGGCATTGCAGTGCTATGAGCAGTGTCCGTATCGCCCGGTCCTTGAATCTGACTTGGCGACCATTCGGGGGACCTCATGTCATTGTTCTCATCGCTGTCTTCCTCTCTGAGCACCAGGCCTGACGTCGTCCCGTCCCTGGTCGGGCGTTATGCCGCCGACCCGACGCGGCCTGTGAGCGCGGCCATCCCCGGCTGACGGCCGGCGGCGCGGGCCATGTCCGGCCGGCCGGCCGCTGTCACCCGGCACCGGTCAGGGGTCGGTCACCGGGCAGGGGGCGCCGCTGCCAACTTGGCAGCGTCGCTGATCGGGACACGCGCCGAACGCTGACGGACGAGTCGGGTTGGTGTCGCCGGATCCGCAGGCTGACATCGCCGGCGGCCGGCACAGCGTAACAGCGACGCCTCTACACGAGGCCTGAGCAGCGTCCTAAATAATGACTGTCCAGGTATATGTATATATATATATATATATATATATATATATATATATATATATATATGCATACAGAACCTCAACTCATGTTTTGTGCATATATAAATTATGCACAAAACAAGTCTGAAGGGAAGCTGCAAGCGTGAAATATCAGGAAACGTCTTTAGATTACCTTTTATGTTTCTAGCTTGGATCCGCTGCAGTCCTCCGGAAAATGGATATTGTTTCACTCGCACCGGTTGTAAGCTACCCAGCCGCATTTTGCGCAGTGCTTCATTTCGGGACATGATTTGGAACCGAAGGCGTAATACTTATTGCATTTTATGGTGTGATTACATTCTTGATATATTCTGACAAACCCGGTATTCAGTGGCATTATTCCAACAGCAATAAAACAGCACAAACACACAATTATCACTTGCGGGAAGCCGATGCACATTCCTCTATTCAGGCGGGCTTTGTCCGAAGCCGGCCAGGCGGCGGGAGGCCCAGTCTGTTGCGAGGATTACACGGCCATGCAGGTCGGACGAACGTCACAGCAAGCACCGCGGCACACACCGCCGCGCAAACGAGTTCGATCAGGCCGCATCTCGAGCCCCTGACGCGTCGAGACTGACGGTGTCTCCCACACCGAGAGACAGATGCTGAGATAACGGAGAGACGGAGCCGAGACTGGCGGTGTCTCCCACACCGAGAGACAGATGCTGAGACAACAGAGAGACGGAGCCGAGACTGGCGGTTGTCTCCCACACCGAGAGACAGATGCTGAGATATCAGGGAGACAGAGCCGAGACTGACGGTGTCTCCCACACCGAGAGACAGATGCTGAGATATCAGAGAGACAGAGCCGAGACTGACGGTGTATCCCAGACAGAGAGACAGATGCTGAGATATCAGAGAGACAGAGCCGAGACTGACGGTGTTTCCCAGACAGAGAGACAGATGCTGAGATATCAGAGAGACAGAGCCGAGACTGACGGTGTTTCCCAGACAGAGAGACAGATGCTGAGATAACGGAGAGACAGAGCCGAGACTGGCGGTGTCTCCCAGACCAGGAGACAGATGCTGAGACAACAGAGAGACGGAGCCGAGACTGACGGTGTTTCCCAGACAGAGAGACAGATGCTGAGATAACGGAGAGACAGAGCCGAGACTGGCGGTGTCTCCCAGACCGAGAGACAGATGCTGAGACAACAGAGAGACAGAGCCGAGGCTGGCGGTGTCTCCTAGACCGAGAGGCCGACACTGCGGCAGACTGACAGCGATACACATTGAGAGACATGGGGCTCTGAGTTGACGTGTTGTCACAATGCCACGGCCACGCCCATAAAACGGACGTGGCCGCGGCTATGTGCACGCGTGCGCCGTAAGTCCTCAACAGGTATGTTTGTGTCCTCCATGCACGCCGCGCACGCCGAGCACGCCGTACAGTCTACAACAGGTGTGTTCGTGCCCTCCAGAGTTATCTGCTGATAAGCTGTGTCACAAAGCACTTGGCCGTGTCCCGCAGAGCTGTTTGTCGCGTGTTGTGTCACGCAAGCATTTGGACGGTGTGATTTGACAGGTGTGCTACGATGCAAGAACATTCAGCGATGTGTTGTGATGCAAGAACATTCAGCACTGTGTTGTGATGCAAGAACATTCAGCACTGTGTTGTGATGCAAGAACATTCAACACTGTGTTGTGATGCAAGAACATTCGGCACTGTATTGTGATGCAAGAACGCTCAGCACCGTGTAGTGATACAACATCATTCAGCACTCTGTTGTGATGCAAGAACATTCAGCACCGTGTTGTGATGCAAGAACATTCGGCATTGTGTTGTGGTATAAGAACATTTAGCACTGCGATGTGATGCAAGAACCTTCAGCACCGTGTTGTGATGCAAGAACATCCGGCATTGTGTTGTGGTATAAGAACATTCAACACTGTGCTGTGATGCAGAAACATCCAGCAGTGCAATGTAAGGACATTCAGCACCATGTTGTGACGCATCACCCACTCGCACAGTGGGCTGGTTGAGTGAATATTTGTTTGGCGCATCATGTCGCACAGAGCACATGCGTTACGTTACCCAAGCCATTTAGCCGCGTGTTGTGTCGCATAGAACCTTGTGTTAACATAAGGTTAAAGTTTCTTGGGGCAGTTTTTCGAAGGTCTTCGGTTGATTTCCTCGGGGTGGTATCGCGTGAGCTGCTCCGTCCTCAGAGCACTGAAAGCCAGGATGCGTATAAATGACCCCGGAACAGGTGTCTCAGCCGGTGGGTTGTGTCGCGTGTGGAGGATAGGGCACATGCGCCGTGCCTCGCGGGACGTTTGTCCGACACCAAAGCATTCAGCGGAGCATTCAGCACGCCGCCGCGGAAATCTCACGGAAGATGTGGTTGCGTCGCGTCACGCAGTCTTCAGAGCGCGCGCTGCACCGTGCACAGTCTCAGTCCGGTGTGTTGTGTCGCCTGCCGTTGCAAGCGCGGGCGTAAACGTGAGATGGCTTGGAGCATGATGCAGTTGACTTGCAACGTCTCCTGACATAACACGGCGCGGTCAGTCTCGCCCCCGTCGTCGGCCTGGCCGCGGCAGCTCAGGGCGTGGTGTAAAGCAGCTCGGTGACCAGCCCGTGGCACTGCTCCATGTCCGCGAAGCAGATGTCGCGGCCCTTCTCGATGGCCGCCGACAGGAAGTAGAAGCGCAGCAGGCCGTCGTCGCTGCGCGCGCGGCTCGGCCCGCTCTGGCCGCCCCAGATGTTGAAGTCGCCGGCCGTGTACTTCCAGCGGTCTACCGTGACGGCCACCTTGTAGCAGCAGCCGCCCTCGATCGCCACCGGCTGGTGAAACAGCACGCGCATGTCGGCCGGCTGCGCGCCCACGCCGTCGCCGCTGACGCGGTGGTACTGCGAGAACATGTCCGTCCACTGTACGCGCTCGAACGGGCCTTGCACGCGCACGGTCAGCCCCAACTCCAGCTGACTGAAGATGTAGCCCAGATGCACGCCCACCAGCTGCAGGTCGGCGTCGGCACGGAAGCGCAGCTCGTGCACGCTGTCCATGTCGTCGCGACAAAGCTTGTACCCGGCTCGGTAGCGCAGGCAACGGCCGTAGGGCAGCACGCGCCGCCGGCCCGGCTCCATGAGCGTGCGGCACGCCGACTGGTTGTCGTGCAGGTCGATGTTGCGCGGAATCTCGATGCCGCGCGTCATGAAGAAGCTGACCAGCTCCTGCGGCCCCACCAGGCCGGAGGGCAGCACCGTCTTGATGAAGTCGCTCTCGTCGATGCGATCCATTTTGACGAAGGGCAGCAGGTCGGCGACGGTGTGGGCGCAGTACTGACGGATCGCCACGCGCCGGCCGCAGCTGGTGCTCTCTCCCCACCGCTTCACCGCCAGGAAACACCACCAGCTCGTCGCCGGCGTCGAACGTCTCCCGGTCCAAGATGGTAGCCACCATGTCCTTGGAGAGGCTGCTGAAGTCGGCGGTGGTGATGATGCGCGCCGCGTACTGGTCCACATAGCTCCAGCAGAGCTGCGTCAGCGGCTGGTTCTGCACCTCGCGACAGAAGTCGAGGAAGAAGAAGAGGTTGGCGCAGGTGAGCGGCGTGAAGCGGTAGCTTTCCACGGCGCTGGTGACGAACTGGGAGATGTAGCGCACCAGCTCGCTGCACTGGAACGCCTGCGCGATGTGGAAGATGTCGCGGGCCCGTTCCACCGATGCGATGATGCACTCGCCGGTGTAGATGAACCTGAAGCGGACAGCGGCCAACGTTGACGTGATTTATTGACCTTGAAAAGGGATTTGATCACGGCAGGTACAACTGTGAGTTAGAACGTCAGCTTACCCACCCGTGACTCTGCTGAAATATGTGTCGTTGCATTGACTAGAATGTGTTTAGTTTTATCAAATTCAATGGGACTTTTATGATAGTTTGTCTCCCTCTCAGCTATGACCGAGAAGATTAACAAGTTGAAAAAAATACAACGATGTTGTTGAAGAGCGTTCGGTTCGTATCGCCTCTCTTATCTGCTCGTCAATCAGCGAGAATCCCGATCGTTCCAGTGCGAAGTATTTGGGCGAAACGTCACGAAATGTGATCGGAGAACGCACATAGCCTCTGTTGCTAGCTCTGTAATCACGAAGGCATCGGAAAACACCCCAGCTGTTATTGGTATACTCATATGAAGATGTACTATTTTCGTCCGTGATGATAAAACATGATAACACGTACTGCTTTCGAAGTCTTTGTGGTTTACAAGAATGAAAACGATCTGTGCTTGACAGCAAGATAGAAAAGGAAAGCGGCATTCTGACTGCATCTCCTCCTCTACAAGGAATAATACAAGGAATACAAGGAATAAACCTCCTCTACAAGGAATAAATGTCCATGAAGCAAATAAACCAGCTTGTTGCTTCTCTAAAGCGTTAAAGAAGACTAATCGCAATTCTCACAGCTCACCCGGACATAAAATGTTAATCTAACGTTTGCATTTCTTATCCAGAAAAGAGACAAAATAATCTACGACAAAATCGCTACTATTTGGTTGGCAAGTTCGCAAGAGGCGGACATCATCTGAGCGGATTGGCTGCAAGCGTGAACAATTCCATCTCTCCCCACCCAAGAATATTTAACAATCCTTCCTCCACTACTCACCATCTCAACACCACTGAAGCCCTCACCCCTCCCCCCCCCCCCCTTCGTACGACACACGCAAATCATGCAAAACGTTAAAGATTCAGGCAACTGCTGGGATGAGCAGTTGAAAAACTCACTCGATCATGAGTTTGAACGTGCCGGGGTTCCACTTGCGGATGATCACGGGCTGACCGCTGAAGTCTCCGGTGTATAGCGTCTTCTGAAAGACTGGGCTAGCCATCGCGAGGACCAGCCGGTGTGCCTGCACCACCAGGTCGGGCCCCACCGACTCCGGCTCAGACTCCGACTCGGAGGGCTCGGAGGGCTCGGAGTCGCTGAGTGAAGAGACGGAGGAAAGGCGGCGGCCGGTGTCGTTGCCGTTGTTGTTGCCGTTGCTGTTGCCGTTGCCGTTGTTGTTGTCGTTATCGCTGGAAGGGTTGGCAGGAGGGCCGATCGCACTTTCCGATAATGTCGGCTGCCAGGCTACCTGTGGATCAGTCAGGTCAGGCCGGGTCAGGTCAGAGACCCGTCCATATCTAACAGAGAGGGCGTACTGCGGTAAGCTCGGAAAACCAGGGCAGGAAATCTATCGGTGAAGTCCCAGGACAAGTACGCTGAGTGTAATCAACCCGTTCAAAATGTCAGAATCACTATCACTCGAAGATATTATGCTGCCTTACCGTCTATAGCTGGATGGGAATAAAGACGCCAAAATATTCCGATCGGCCGGGCTCGTGTAACACCCAGCTGACTGGTGATCCCGCGGAGATGAGTGGTACCGGCAGGGCCAGTCGGGGTCTCCGGACCAGCAGAAAACCGGCGCGGGCCGACAGCCAGCAGGCAAACGACTCGTCGTGGAACAAGAACACTCGTGGTTGGGGGGTTATACTTATGTCGCATTGCTTTCTCACGAGGGCTACTGCTGAACAGGGCCTATTTAGAGTAGTGTTGAGAAATGGTGTTCCTTCGTTTCAAGGAAGGCATTAATTAACACGCGCACGGGCAGCTGGTTGAATACATTTCGCTAGGGTGGGGATCAGTTTGACTCTCTAAGATCTCAAAAAGTCAGAAAAATTAGAACTCCGAAATCGCAGGATTGATTGGGGCTGCATGTTAAGTCATTTGCGTCAGAAATTGATATTCCTACGTAATGGCTTTCAGGTAAAATAAGGTAAAACCGGGTTTAACCTCCAGATTCGTGTCCAAAATGCCTTCAGACCTCCGTATGCAACTGCCTTGGACCTAAATACCCATTCTAAGCAGGAGGTTATTGGTATTCATCTAAGTTCATTGACGTCTTTGACCTTTAGAAGGTCACGGTGACTAAAATCGTACGAGCTTGTTTTGGTTTTTGCATTCTAATAAACGTCAAGGATAAGGCTAGGCGGTATGTTCCTAGAAAAAATGTGGCCCGGGCAATATAAGGTCAGTGACCTACTTTGGCTTTTATGGAAGTCCATGGAAGATCCCGTCACGGTCTTTGCTAATAACGAATTCGAAATTAACATCAGTAACTGTCCCATACAGCAAAATCCCGGATTAAAAAGCGGGTTGATTTTGACCTTAGTTCGTCCTTCATACCTGGCATTAGGGCAATGCAATTTATTTGAATCCTAAATTTAATTGCTGTATTGCCTCACTTCATAGAGATGCCTGGCTTCGTCTAACACTCCGTTGTCGCATCAAACGATTTCCTAGAAATATCCTTCGCTGACAGCCATGATCTGACTTTGACATGCCATGGGTCAGCGACCTTACAAGGTACGAATATTTTTATACCAAAAGATGCGCTAGCCAATTGCCTATAATTACTGGTCTGGAACAGCATCAGCTGCAGCTATTGGTTTTTGGTGAAGTTTTGGGCGCCGCTACGCTGCGCCGCTCAGAAATTATTCTGTAAAAGCCGTCGTGGGAGCTAAATCAACCCCAGCCGAGCGTATGCTGAGACGCAGATGCTCACATTTAAAAAAGCTGTGTGCTATTTTCCGGCTTAATAATTTTGTTTACGACCAAGTGCCTCGGCACAGATATATGCCCTTCGCACTCTCTGAAACAGGGTCAAATGCCTTGTTGGGCGTGAGCTGCCGGAAATGCAGCGCCTTCACTGAGGGAGGAGTGTATTTCGCTGTTTACTGGCGGATATATTTAGAGCGCGGATATGGGTTACATAGCACTTAGTTTTACCTTATCTACCCTAACTTTGTGCTGGCAACTGAACAGAAAAAATACAGTACATACTCGATACATTGCCTCACCACGAGCACTTGATTTGGCAAAATCAGGTTTCTCCCAACTTTGGCGGGAGAGTCTGTAAGCCACAGTCCAGGCCGCTTGGCTACACCAATGAGTGATGTAACGGATCTTGGGTCAGCCGGTCGCGGCGGCCCGACGACCTCGGGACAGACACGGTAGGTCCGGAAAGGCCGACACTCGACAGCGCACGCCGACCGACAGGCTCCGGCCGACGCCGCGGGCTATTTTCGGCGCGCAGCACCGAGCCGTTATTGCGGCTGACAGCTCGACCGCGCACGACAGGATCACTTACAACGGTCCGGCAGCCGAGGGCAGCTGACCGGGGCCCAACGCAACAGTCCGGCAGCCGAGGGCAGCTGACAGCCAGCTGAGGGCAGCCAACGGCAAGGGCTGACCGGAGCCCAGCGCGCGCCGCGGCTGCGGCGCCCCGCCCCGGGCATAGCACATCATTCAAGTTATCTGGCGAGACTGTATTCGCCAGGTAGTTGAGAACAGTGTGTTCATGTTCAGACAGAACCGATGTCATAAGAAGAAAAGGACGGAAAGCTAAAATGAGGACCATGCAAGGAGTGCGAGTTCAATGACGTCAGTATGAAAGCATGACTATATACATTCATCAGTATGAAATCCATATGAAAGTTGTGAGCATTGGGAATGAATGGTGGACTTAGCAGTGTTGGTTGGGGCCTCATTTGTATAGCGGGTAAATGGGAAAAGATCGATATAATTGACTGCATTGAAGCGTCATGGATAAAACGGCAATATCACAAAGGAAGATGCAACAAAGAAAAATGGTGAAATCAGCTCTGCCTAAGAATATACCTAGCACTGCTTAACTGTTTAGGGCCCAGCGCTTCCATACAGTGGCACAGGGCTGGGATCCAGCCTCTTCGTGTACGCAAATGCACGGAGGCAGCTGGAGGCATGGTATGCATGCAACCAGTTGCACAATCGCCGTGGAGCTTTGCTTTGACCTGCTTCTGAACTAACTGTTTCATTTATGGGGAAGTAATGACGGGTTGAGCCGCGGCACCAGCCGGGGGTCGGCGGCTCTCTTTGTTGCCAGTCAAGGGTCGTGACGTTTTTTGCCAGAGCCTAGTCGGGCGGTGCCCGAACAGGAATGGTCGTGCTGTGTCACTAGCCCCATGGCAATAGGTGGGCCCGTGCACATTTAGCAGTCACGGTCATGATACGTACCTCAGCTTTGGTGCTATAATGCTTCGAGAACTTTCGTTGCAAAGTCGCTACATATAAATAAACAAGAAGCCAAGCTTTGTTAGTGCCACGACGGCCGAACAGTTCAACAGAATCTGAGACAGCCTTGCGATCATCATTATCAGCAGTTTGGATAAGGCGGAGTAATATGCTTTTCATGCACCTCCCCGGCACATAGCCATGACGAATATTAAATATATAATTTGAGGACATTCTTCCTGCTCAATCACACACATTGATTACCAGTCTAACAAGCGTGATAACGTAAGGAAGGTAATTATGCAACTCTTTTGCAGCCCTGGGGTTCTTCTTGCCGTTTTCAAGGGCTGTAACAGGCATTGTGAGCACAAATCACCACGGACGGTTTCACAAATGATACGGGTGGCACAAAAAATTACCTCATTAGCTTGACATGGTTGCCAGGCCTTCGCGACCTGTGACGTCGTTAGCAATTTCTTCAGAAGTGTCCTCGTTTTATGGCGCTCACTTCAAGTCTGGGCAGTGCCGAGCGCCGAATAGCGCTCATCTCTCAAATGAACGGTGAATAAAGAGAGCACTCAGAATCGGATCTCTGCTGCTGCTGCCTGTGACATCCCTAGCGTCGCGAGCGCGAAAATAAAAGGGCTGCATAACCTCGCATTGGTACTGTCATACCGTTCCCTCTAAGTCGCAATACGCCATCGTCACAAGACAAGCATTAACTAAGGTCTACTGGAAATCTACGTAAACTGTTTTTACCGACGATCACCTTTTCTAGCGAGGACCAAGCTGAACAAAGCTAACAAAACAAACAGACGATGCACTGAAGAAACGTCAGAAGCAATTTAGTTGGCCTCATGTTATTTTCGTGGCTATGTGTTAGCTTGATGGGCCTGCACTCTAATTGTTTCTGAAAAAACATGACGTAAAATATCTGGAGTTACGTGGCAAAATGAATTCGCAAAGCCCACTTCCATGCTCAATCCTGATTTTAGTAAGTTCAGGTAATTTCAAAAATTCGTGCTATAAACATATGAACCGGAAAACCTTAATGCATGCAATTCAGCTTATCGGCTAATTAATTATCTATTCTCCCATATTTAACGAACAACGGGCGATAGGGTTGTGGCAGGTTGCATATACTCACACAGTAGACCAAGTAAATGACTCATTTGTAAGGCAACGGACTTAACGAAACCGCGAAGCGAGCGGAGACATCGAAAGTTGAGAACTTTCAGATTACTTCTTAAGTACGATGGTACACCTATAATGGCATGCTATGCAACGTCCAAATTACGTTTAGTCAGACTTTTATTCTTTTTTTCTCTTTAGCCAGACTTTTAGCCAGAGATCTCTGCCATAGATTGCACCCGGGCACAAAGTCCGGGATCTCACGGTCCAAAGTGGAATGCTCCTATTAATTACGGCGGCCATGTAGTCAGACCGTGTTTGACATGCTTTCATGACCGGATTTGCGCCACTTTTGTGATTTCCCCCTGTTTTCACACTTCCCGTGTTCTCGTTAATAGTTCTTGAGAGCCGGCCGCAGGCTCAAACCATGCATGAGTGAACGTCATAGGTATGGATGTAAGAGCAAGCAATGCAATTTAGAACACGCAGACTCCTTGGCAGCTCTAAAGACTCAAGACATTGGTTTTGAAAGAGAATGTTTTGTTTATTGGTGTTATTGGAAAAATAAAGAGATGGCTGCAAAGTCTCAGAACTTCCAAATTTGGAGGAAAACGTCTGGTCAGTGGATGCTGTGTGCGAAATAGAAAGCATTATTCAATCAGCATGTCTCATTTATGTGCCATGTGTTGATTTAAGCCATGGCGCTGCTATCGGAAGCAGGATACTTATATATATATATATATATATATATATATATATATCTATCTATATCTATATCTATATCTATATCTATCTATCTATCTATCTATCTATCTATCTATCTATCTATCTATCTATCTATCTATCTATCTATCTATCTATCTATCTATCTATCTATCTATCTATCTATTTATTATCTATCTATCTATCTATCTATTTATCTATCTATTTATCTATCTATCTATCTATCTATCTATCTATCTATATACTATATATATATATATATATATATATTATATATATATATATAGAGAGAGAGAGAGAGAGAGAGAGAGAGAGAGAGAGAGAGAGAGAGATATTATATATATAATATATATATATATATATTATATATATAAGATTATATATATATATGTGTGTGTGTGTGTGTGTGGGTGGGGGTGTGTGTGTGTTGTGTGTGTGTGTGTTGTGGGTGTGTGTGTGTGTGTGGTGTGTGTGTTTGTGTGTGTGTGTGTGTGTGTGTGTTGTGTGTGTGTGTGTGTTGTGTGTGTGTGGTGTGTGTGTGTGTGTGTGTGGTGTGTGTGTGTGTGTGTGTAACATTTGGAGGATATCTTGAGCTGCTGAGGCAGTTTCAGGATATCCTCCAAATAGAACGTTATCATTAAAATAACTATGTTATCATAGGGGATAGCAGGAAGAGTTGTATCAGTATTTGTTATTGAGTTCCCGCCTGCCGCTACAACTGAAGATAGGATCGCTTCTGATATCTGTAGACAAATCTAACCTTCAGCTCCATGCGTGGCAGTAAAGTTTGAAGGCCATGTGTGGGTCTTTTGCGATACTCCTGGACATTGGTCTTTTGGCGTTGCCTCCTGGGCATTGGTCTTTTGGCATTACCTCCTGGACATGATCTTTTGGCGTTGCCTCCTGGACATTGGTTTTGGCGTTGCCGTGGACAACCCGCCACTGCGAGCAGGGAACTACTTGCAGCGTTAGAGGTGCGCAAAATGCATACACACAAGATGTGCACGGATAATCATGACATGAATTCTTGCCGTCTCTGCAGGAACAAAAAAATCTGAGCATCCATGAGAGCAGCATGCGTATGCGCGGGAGTCATGTCGGCCCTCTCGCCGCTCAAGCCATCCATCAACTCGTTTCAGCGTCGTCCAGCACGGTCTCAACGGACGGCCTCAACGCCGTCACGCCGCAGCCCTGAGGATGCTGTCTCCTCCAGGCGCGCAGACGTTCATCGGACTCCAGCGGCGTCAGCCGGCGATCACTCGAACATTTACTGACTCCAAGAATCCATCTTGTTGATTCGGTCATCGCCATGGACAGGTGTGAAACAGGATTATGAGGAAAGAACAACATCTGTTTTGTCTTGCGGTGTTTCGGCCCACTATTTGCGAGATTGTCCGCAGGACCACGATCGGGCCCACGACTGCCGCCCCAGGAACGTTAGCCGCTATTGGCAGGCAGGGTCACCAGCTTGACCGTGGCTTCATGCCGCAAGTTTGCCAAATTGCTGTCCTTCGGCGCGGAAGCTCAGGCAGTGCCTACAGATGCTTCTTGAGCCCATGATGCTGGAGAAGGAGAGGACCGCAAGGTGGACAATGCCACTTCGGCTCCATTTTTTTGACTTGAAAATAACGAAGATCAGGCTCACTTGTGCCCTGCAAGCACAGCGACTCCAAGACTAATGAAATGCGATACCGGGCCCGCACCCACGAGATGACCCAGGCCGCGAAAAAACCTTTGCACTGCGCTGAGATAGCGGCCAGAGGGCCACATCCATGGGCAGGCATGAGATGGTTAGGGTAGATGAGAGGGTAACCACGGGCTTGAATAAGGAGTTTGCGACGTTAAATGATGGCAAATCTTCTATCAATACAGACAAAACAGGATGTTATTGCACTTTTAGACTAACTGGGTATGCACTTCTCCCAGGACCAAAATGCGCCGATGGTAACTACCAGCATCTCACGGCGCGGCTAGATGGTTAATATGAAGGTAAAGATTGTCAAGATGAAAGAAGAATATTTATTCCGGGCCTGGCGTGTCCGGTTGAGCTGGCCGGCTCTTTGGAGTTGTCCTCTCTTTGACTGTTGATGTCGTGCAGGGGGCGTCCATATCGTGGAGATGGTGGGACATCATCCACATCCATCATATCGGACTGATGATGGGACATCATCCCGGCGCTGCCGCCAGCCATGGTGGCCTCCCGGGTGGTGGCGCGTTAAGGTTCGACTTGAAAGGTGGCAAAGCGGATAGTGTTGCCTTTTGCGCTTTTTTACGTTATTGTTGCGTTTCTTCACGGTTGCATCTTCGTTTTATCGTTCAACCATGCGGAGAAAGAGAGAGAGAGAGAGAGAGAGAGAGGAGAGAGAGAGAGAGAGAGAGGAGAGAGAGGAGGAGAGGGGAGGAGAGGGGAGGAGGAGGGAGAGGAGGAGGATGAGAGAGGGAGAGAGAGAGAGAGAGAGGAGAGAGGAGAGGAGCGAGAGAGAGAGAGAGAGGGAGGAGAGAGAGAGAGAGAGAGAGAGGAGAGAGAGAGAGAGAGAGAGGAGGGAGAGAGAGAGAGAGGAGAGACAGAGAGAAGAGAGAGGGGGGAGAGAGGGGAAGAGAGTGAGAGGGAGAGAGAGGGAGAGAGAGAGGGAGGGGAGAATGATTCTTTATAAATGTATAATGATGACCATCATCATTATGATGGCCGTGGTGACGGTCAGGATTCTGCTGCGGCACGCCGCGATCACGTCATATGATTTGGGAATTGGCCATAGAAAACGCTACATT